CTTAGGAATGATGATCGTCATGTTCCCGGTGCCGCGGTGTAACGTCGTAAGGTCAGGTGCTCACGATCCTAGAATTTACCATGACTCGTAGCGTCATGTACAACCAGCCATTCCCATGTGGCAGGAATCCCTTACCGCGGCGCGGTGATACTCTCCTGGAGGTTGGAGATATCGCCACTTCCGCCATGACTTCCTATTCGTCAAAACCCGCTAGGCAGGACCATCGGGCCAATCAGGACGATCCCGAACCCCCACTCGGGGAATCGGGATATCACAGTACGAACCTAGGAGCCTTCCAAAAGTGAGCTAGAATGCGTGGATTTCATGTCAGTACACCGACTGTCTGGCACACGTTAATATGCTTTCACTTACCCTGGACCCCGACCAACCAGCGTTGGGCTACGGGGGATGTCTTTGCGGCAACGAGTCCCATTCGTCGCTGTTGCGTTCCTTCGTAGCTTCGGAGGATTAATGAAGTAAGCGTCCAGGAACCGTCTTTGAGTCCGCTTAGACTTGATGCGGTCAAGCAAAAGGTAATGATGCCTGTACAGCTCTTCCAGTGGCCGCGTAGACAAAACCCGAGAGAAGAGCTGTACCCGCCCAAGTGTGTCGCCAATAGAGTCACCCACTCCCAGTGCCTTAGCGAAGAAACTGTCTGAACTGGTTCTTGTCGTACAACTGATTATCGAAGATACTTTTTGGCCTGCTCGTCACTCTCATGGCGGAGTCTTCCTCACTCATATCAGGTCCCACGCGATACTGCCCAGATGGGCCATCTTTAGAACGTCGAGGTACAGGCGGGCCGGCACTTCTCATCAGAATCAGCTTCGTGGAGTGCAGCGTCCATGAGCGTGGTCCAGGCACTGAAAAGGACGTCTTTGTTGCGACGGAGAAAGCATGTAACCTAACCATTGGTCAGTACTTCGGGAACGATTGGGAGTGCAAGATGAGGGCGGACTTGTGGTGGAGAGAGATCAGAGGTTTGCACAGACGCGGTACCTGAACAGGATCAGGTCAAACCGCTAGATAGGCAAGCGAGCCGATTACGGTTCATGACCATCAATCTCCAATCATACCAGATTTGAATAGCCTAAAGTAACAAGAAAGTGGACATCAGATACAATTTTCAGTGGAGTCGTTTCGTATATCAATGGTGAAGTTTGTCAGCCATCGAGTTTGTAATCAGGCCGAAGTTCAACCGATCACCTTCACAATTGAGCTGTACAGAGAGGAAATAAATGCTTAAGTACGTAGTACCCAGAGAGAACAATTTTCTCAAAGCTTGGCTACTTCACCCAATTTTATCGTCATTCCTCTACAATCTCAACTCAAATCCCCAGAAATTGCACCCGTCTTCACAGCTCAAACCACCACCATATCTACGGCAACATGTCCGCCCTTCTCGCCAACAAACCCCTCCTCGGCCCACTCGTCGGGCTCAACATCTGGACCTTTGCCATGGAAGCTCTTCTCTACAAACGAAGAATACCAGCCCTCTCCCAATACGATATCAGCTTCGACCCGGCAACCGTCAAGAAGCAAAAAGACGAAAAGCTACCGGCCTTCGTCAAGTGGCCTGCAGATAACTTCAACAACTTACTCGAACAACCCACTCAGTTCTACGCCGTGTTGCTGGGACTGAGCCTTTTGGATGTAAAGGACAAGAGGACCGTTGGTTTGGCGTGGGCTTATGTCGGCTTGAGATTCGTACACAGCATTATTCATGTTTCGACGAACAACGTCTCCCTGCGCTTTCCAGTCTTTGCTGCGAGTTCGGTTGCGCTTCTGGGACTCACGGCCGAGGCGGCATGGAAGCTTATCTTCTAGGGGATTTGGCTGTGGTGGTGATATTCGTGTCGGGAGGAAGATCTAAACAGATGTGGGTATCTGGAACAGGCCTAGCTGGAAGTGAAAAGATTTACTCGACTTTTGGCAATTGTACATCAGAAAAAGCATATTCGAGAGGGCTTTAAGCATATTTCCATGAAGCCTGTGACATTTCTTACAGCTTTCGCATCGTCAGAGCGAGTTTCATTAGTGTTGCGCCGTACGTGCTATTCCCCGCAGCCTCTGGGATGAGCTGTCACTTGATCTTTACGCCTGTTGACAAGCTGGGTACGACCAGACAGAAGATGATGACTATCGAGCATCTCTTATGGATGGCGTAGCGAAGAGGTGCCTATCCTCTGTGTAGTGAGACAGCTCTTATTGAACCAACTTTCCTCCTCTTGTCCATTGCGTAGTGGGGTATCGTAGTATTCGTCCTTGGTGGAAGTGCACCGCATGCAACTTTGTATGTCTTGCGTTTGCATCTCCCTATGACCTTCTCGTCCCACCTCTTTCTATTCCTTCTTGTATCTTCGAGCTCAAGCCTTCTTCTCCGCTTCAGTGCCCTGCCACGCCAGATTCCATCTCCTCTTCAGCACATCTATGCTCTCCTGTGAGGTCCGGCCCTTCTCTTTCTCCTCGCGATTTATCCGTGTGAAGGCAGCAGCGAGACCGATGGATATGGCGAAAAGAGGGTCGAGACTTCTGCGCGACTTGTTAGTCTCCAAGTCCAAGGTCGACGAGAGGGGAAGGCGCACTTTGATATGATGTACTGGGCCGCCATAACTGCGGGGTCTCAGAATAGTATTCCGGAAGTGATCCGATTGCGAACAGGTAGTGGGTTGTTTAGGCAACTACGATGGTTCTGCAGGTACAAGTTGGCAAGGACAGAAATGCACGGCGGTGTCTCGATCAACTTCTCCCAGATCGCGTCCATCAAAGATCCACTGCACCTGCATTTGCTGTGGTCCGTGCCTGCCGCCAGCTGGAGCTTCCCCACGCCCGCGGTCGCGCCATGCGGACTACTTGGGCAAGCACGCGTCAAAAGCCGCTTGGAAAGCATGTCATTGTTTCAGAAGGTGCTAGAACAGTTCAAGTCGCTCTGATTATCCATGTTGTGCATCCAGTCTGCATGCAGCTGGTTGTATGGAGGCGGTTAGGCGTCTGGTGAGGCGGGTGATGGCGTCATGGGTTTCAGCCCGGAGGAGCCGCAAGTCACGCTGCCTTGTCAGGTACAGATAGCGCTTCACGGGATACATGCGAGACGTCACAGATGGGGTCATGTGAAGACAGTCGTCTTGGATTAAGTCTGGTGCATTTGGGCTGAAATGTGATGATCAAGCTACAGGTACAGCGCAAAAGAGAAAGCCAATCTGTCCGACCGCCACTCGTCATGTCCGTGGAGCTCCATCTCCAGCGGAGTGCATTCTCGCTGTCTTGCGCTTGATCCGCCTCATTCTCAGATGATGTTTGCCTAGTGCTGAGTGCCGAGGAGTCTGCCGTCGCACCAAAGCGCTGATCAAGAATACCGATCCATCACCCAGCCCGTGTAGTGTTGCCATGAAATAATGAAGAAACCCGTGATCCGATAACGCCTGTGAGTTCGCCGCGGCCTTGATAACCGATAGATAAGGGGATGCGGGATGGAGCGAGCTCCCTAGATGGCCTCGCCGAATGTGTTCTCGCCGGAGTACCTATAAGGTTGTTAGCAGCTGCATCGCGGTGCGCGGCGAAGGGATTACGTACGTAATGTACAGGAAGCCATCCTCATCCTTGTGCTCCTCATATATCGAGCTCATGAGCGCGGCGGTAGGCGGCAGAACCTCATCAACGAAGATGAAGATGGCCTTCTCAGGTGACAGCTTGATGCGCTTACGGATCACGTAGACGAACTGTCCGACGGTCAGGTCGGCGGGTACCAGGTACTTCTTCTTGTCGATGGTCGCGATGTCCGACTTCTCGACCTTCTCGCAGATGACCTGCGCCTTGTTAGCTACGGTCGCAGTGAGGGAGATGAACAGGCAGGAGGCAAACGTACGGGAATGCGGTCGTTGTACTTCTGGCGAATGCGCTCCGCCTCGGCCTTGCGCTTCTCGAACGGGTGCTCGTCCTTGAACTTGGAACGCATCTTGGATATGTGTAAGAGTGATGGGTAGTGTATGTGAGTGTGTAGAGTGAGCAGGCGGGAGTTTTGTCGGTGGTGCGGGTGGAGATGTAGGACGCTGAGGGTGCGGGCGGTGTGGGAGTTTAAGGGCAGGCAGCAGAGCGGGGCGAATCACTTCCAGCCTTACCTAACCAACGCCCAAGTCAGTCACCATCCATGCACATGCCCTATGCAACAGACGACCAACGCTTCACGCGCCAGCCAAGTGCTCTCTGGGAATCAGAGACAGTGCAATCAGCCCTCTTTCGTCATGCGAATGCAGCCCTTTTCACCCGTGAAGAGCGACCTGGTCCTCGTCCATGGCTGTGCTGACCGCTTCGCCCACCAAGTCACTTGCGAAGCTCCCATGACCTGGGTCTCCCGGACGCATTCAAGGTTGAGTCATCCATCGACTTGAGCACCGCCACTGTAGGCACGCGCCGTGACGCTATCTTGAACTTGACGTAGGCTGCATCATTCCATCGTTCGAAGTCGACGCGTTGGACACGCGCGTTGGCAGGCATGTAGCGCGTCCGACCACCTTACCGCTCATAGCAACGTAGCTATCTCTTCAGACGCCCTCTATGACAGCGCGAACGAGTACCTCTTGTGCACCGTGAGATGCCCGTCAGGATACTGGGTAGCAGTGCGCACCCTACCTAGCGAGTACCGCCAACGAACCCTCGCTACCCGCATGCTGCGCGTCTACAGATAGGTCCATATGTGTCTTTGAGCACTCAGCCCGTCAAAAGCCGAAACCAGTACAGCTCAAAGTAAGCGCTTTCGCGCGTCCTCACCTTCGTTGTCTTTAATGGCAAGTTTGCCGTATTTGCATGATGCAGGTACCGATACCGCTAGTAGGAGTACCGAGGAGCTCCACTGATGATGCGCCCACCGTGGTGTGATGGACGACAACTTTCCAAACCACAGACTTTCTCCCACAGACTTGACATAAATCAATTCGCGACTATCACACACCTCCAATGATTTCCACGCGGTGAACGTCTTCTCAAGATTCCACACGCCCGCCATGCGTCCATTCCGATCTTCCCTCCGCATCTCAAGAGCTCTCGAGCTCCCCCACAGCCATGCGCCGCAACCAACACTACGGCCGTATCACATCTGCAATAGACAATTACACGCTTCACCAAGACGCCGCCTAGACCTACCCTCAGGCAAGAAACCGGAGAAGCCGGATCCTTTGGAAGAATGGCGTAATCCTCCACCGAGCAAATGGCCGAACAGGATACGGTTGCTATTTGTACCCTTCATTGGGGCCTTGGTCTACTCCATGGTACACAGAGACCCTGAACATTGCTTTGAACCTTATTGACCATGTCACAGTGGACGGACGATACGATCAAGACCGAAGCACCCACCATCGCCGAGAAGGATGCCCTGCTCAAGCGTGAGAATGGCGTCTCGGAGCAATCACCCATGCGCCTCCGAATGGAGCAGTTCATAAAGCAAAACCAGAAGGAAATCGTGGCTGAGCTGGAAAAGGTCGACGGCACTAAGTTCAAGATCGACACATGGCAGCGACCAGAAGGCGGTGGTGGCATCACTTGTATCCTGCAAGACGGCAACGTGTTCGAGAAGGGAGGCGTGAACACCTCAGTCGTATACGGGCGCTTGCCTAAAGCCGCCATACAGAAGATGCGCGCCAACCACAAAGCTCTCGACCCCAACGTCGACTCGCTCGAGTTCTTCGCCGCAGGCCTATCCATGGTCCTTCACCCCCACAACCCCAACGCACCGACCGTGCACCTCAACTATCGTTACTTCGAGACCGCCGACGAGCTAGGCAACACAAACGCATGGTGGTACGGCGGTGGCTGCGATCTCACACCCTCCTATCTCTACGACGAAGACGCGATACACTTCCACGGCGCTATCAAGCAAGCCTGCGACAAGCACGACAAAGCATACTACCCGCGATTCAAGAAGTGGTGCGACGAGTATTTCAGCAACAAGCACCGGGGCGAGACACGAGGTGTAGGCGGCATCTTCTTCGACGATCTCGACGAGACGGAGAAGGATCAGGAACAACTATTCTCATTCATTCAGGACTGCTTGTCCGCTTTCCTGCCTTCCTACCTGCCCATCATCAACAGGCGGAAGGACATGCCCTACACGGACGAGATGAAGCAGTGGCAGCAGATCCGTAGAGGACGCTATGTCGAGTTCAACCTTGTGCACGACCGTGGAACGGCTTTTGGTCTCAACACACCTGGTGCACGGGTCGAGAGTATTCTCATGAGTCTGCCTCTTACGGCAAGGTGGCAGTACATGCATGAACCTGCAAAGGGTAGCAGAGAGGAACGGTTAATCGAAGTCCTCAAGAGTCCGAAGGAGTGGGTGTAGAAAGCTGGGACGTGGACTTGTACATAGATGTATCATGGCAATATATACGAGTCGAAGTAGGAGACGTCCATGTATTGAATTATGTGATTGCTACCATTGATTACCGTCAATGGAATCTACGTAGAAGCCCAAATATTATGTGGCCGTGTCAAAATGTACAGAGTAGTTGAGATTTAATGACAGGTGAGGCTATGCACTACAACCCACTTTGCCTTGACCGAACACACGCAGATGTTTGCATGTAGGCCTCTGAATCAGTTGACAAATCGCTCAACGCCACGCTATGCTGCAAAAGCCCACCATCGTTGCCTTTTCTGAAAATTGGCCAAGCATCAACGGCTCAAAGTAGAGACTGATGCCTAATAAGCCCTAACCTTCTTTCCCTCCCCATTAACACCAAGATCTGCCTTCCTCTTTCCAAGTACTGAGTCAGGCGTGCCTGGCGCCTCAATACCAACACCCTTGCCATAAACCTCCTCAAAACAAGTAGCATGGTATATCTTACCACCCACGCTTACGGCATCCATCCATACAAAGTCGTTGGCCTCCACATTCCACTGCGTCTCGAATTTGTCCTGGCAGATGGGGCACGGTGCCTGCTGTAGTATGACGTCTTGTGGTACGCTCACATAGCGATCCTTGGCCTGTTTCTTCGGTTTAGCACCACCAGCACCAGACGAACCGTCGTTGGACTGGTTAGGGGCTGTCTCGTCGACTTCGCGGTACTCGATCCACTCCTTTTCAGGAATGTACCAGCTGCGGTGTACACCTCGCTTGGCGGCATCTGGGTCCTTGACTTTGAAATGCCAGTCCATATGGCGTGCTTTCTTCTCTTTGCCTTCGGGTGTGCTCTCAAAGCGACGGCCACATGTGGCGCAGATGTTGGGCTTGGCTTCGTAAAGGCGGGAGATGAGGTGAAGACGAGGCTTCTTCATTGACGCCGTGGTGAGCTCGATCTGTTCCATCAAGCTACCCGGCGCAAGTGGCTGTTGTGTGGCCGGCTGGGAGTGAATTGGCGTTGGGTTTGCAGGTATACCACCAGGTACACCACCCAGAGCTTTCAAAAGCCACTCGGCGGATCCAAGGGCTGGAGCCGCAGCAACAGGTTGTGGTGGTAACTGAGGAACGGGAGTGCTCTGCACAGGCGTGGGTGGCATTGAGGGCGGCACGGCACCAGGTTTGCTGAACTGCGCAAGCAGAGCAGCGAGATTGGCAGTCGGTGTCGCAGACTGAGTGGGCGGGGGGACCTGAGGTGCCGGTACTGGAGTCGAGACTGGGGGCGGGAAGCCTTGGAATGGCATCTGAAAGGGGGCTGAGGCAGGCACTGAGTTTGGTTGTGCTGGGGAAGACACACGTTTGAGTAGCTCTGCCAAGTTCAAGGCCGGTGGATTCGGGGTTGGTGCGGGTTGCGGAGTCGATTGTGGCGGTGGTCGGAAGCCTGCCAGAAGTTGCGCGACATTCGGCGGAGCGCTGCTCGGAGGTGCACCCATCGGAGAAAAGTTAGGTGGATAGCCTTGGGGCATTGCCTGTTGTGGTGGGTACACTGGCGTAGAAGGAGCAAAGGTCGGTGTTGGTGCTGGTGGAGGTGCTAATGCTCGGACCTGTTGACGTACGGCCTCTAATTGTTGAGGAGGCAACGTCTGTGTGTCCAGGATCTGCTTGAGGGACAGGAGTGCTGACAACTTTGTACGTAGAGCAGCGTCAGCTGGGTTATGCGCGAACATGTTCTGTGTTGTGCTGATGAGCTGTGTCAATTCCACCTTCAAGTCGGCAAGATCAACAGACGACATGGGCTGAGGCTGCTGGTATACAGGTGGTGTGGATGCGTGTGATGGTGGATATTGAGGTGTCGGGGGTTGTGACTGGAAGGTTTGTTAGCAAGATTGTCTGAAGATGGTGTTGAAAACTTACCGGTCGAGCACGCGGATCATTGGGAGCGGCATAACGTGGTCCAGTTTGCGGCGGCGTGGATGTACCCCTCCAGGCGACATTAAGTGATGGAGGACGAGGGGGAAGCGCGTGTTGCGGCCGGATCTGTTGCTGAGCTGCGCGGAATTTAGCCAGTGCATTCTCGATGTCCTGTGTCACGTCGGCTTGAAACACAGGGCGAGGGTCCATCGACTCGGGCACAGGCATCTTCCACGTCCTCAGCAAGCCTTCCATGTTCTTGCGTGTGTTTTGATCCATCACGAGATAGGCGTCCATGAAGGTTCTGTAAAGGTTGCGACCAATGTAGACGGTGTATGGCGTGCCAACATTCTTGACAATCGAATCAAGGACGTAGAGGGCTGGAAGCTTCCATTCGGGGCGAGTCTATGCCATGTCAGTCACCGGTGGATAAAGTAAGTTTGAACTGAATGATAGAGTTGTTAGTCTACACGGTTCCAGGACGTACCGATTGGATATGCTTCTGAAGCTCGTTGGATATGGCTTCCGCATACTCTGTGTTTTCTTTGGCGATGAGGGTTAGATTGCTAATCTCAGGTCTGCTGTTCATCCTCAAATCTTGCAGGGCATCCCGAAAGTCGGCAGCCACTTCAGCAGCTGACACAGACATGATGGGCAAGAATATCTGGGGTTAGACAAGAGGGGATGTGTGCTGTGTTAGAAGACGTGAAACTTGCGCGCAAAGGGCAGGGTGAGCGGCTGACTCTGCGGTCGGGGAGTCGCAACGCTGACGATGTCGATGCCAGATGAACAAGATAGACGATATGCTTCCTCGCTCTCGACGAACACACGTAATGACAGTGCTTGTGTTGGATACTAGCTATGGCCGCGCCAATGACGCAGTGTGAAGACTGCGCCGGTACAGCTAGGCAGTAACAAACTCGCTCTCCTCCAGCTACTGCAATCCTCCTTCTGTATGTATGCCCTTCCCCCTTCAAGCCAACAATGAGGCGGTGATGCGCAACTGCGGACGTGTCGCAATAGAGACCCAAAGTGACTCAGGTGCTGCGACGACGGCGGCGCCTAGTAGGGTGTCGTCTAGGATGAGCCTCGTCAGTTTCGAAGCTGATAAACAGCGTCGAGTAGACTCTGTGAGACGTTGTCGGGGTTGTCGTGATGGTGGGGGCCTGAGGTTGGTGGTCAGGCGAGTGATTTGTAGGAACAAAGGTGGAGGAGCGGCTGCGGTCTTTGACAATCGCGAACCAGCCGCGCCCCCATTTGCCAAGCCCGGGTCCGGCAAATAGTATCACCGCGCGTCATGGCCGTCGCGCTCCCTTGAACTTTCCTTGACATCTCTCGATCGACGTTCGCGCCTGGTCCACCTTTACCGCGACAAGTCACTGTTAATCGATCTCGCATCCTCCGCGCTTTCTCACGGATACCCCGACTTCGACGAACCAGGCCCAAACAGCCAGCATGGAGGACGTTGAGTTCAACCGATCGCATTCGAGGTCGCCGTTACCAGCGGCTGGCAACGACCCAGCTGATCCGCTGCGCCCCGAAATCGACGAGGAGAACGCTACCCCGAACCCCCCTATCGGTGATCCAGACCAAGATATGGAAGTGACAGAGGACCGACCCGGCGAGATGCCTGACCAGGACGACATCGAGGCTGGCTTGTCAGACAACGAGTCGGTGCTTTCTGAGGCGCTAGACGATGACCAAATGGACGAGCAGTTTGGCGATTTCGATATCAACAATGTGGCTATTGACGAGCGCCCGGCGCAAGCGATCGACGAAGACAACGTCAAGCAGATTGGTGTACACAAGCGAAAGCGCACTGCTGCTGAGGGTGAAGAGCCAAAGAAGAAGAAAAAGAGGGCTGAAAAGCCTCGCCGCAAGAAGAACAAGGATGGCGACGATGACGGTGATATTGCAGAGGGTGACAGGCGAAGCAAGCGGTCCAAGAAGGCAGGCAGGGTCCGAGCCGCAAGCCCAGAGGGCGATCCAGACGAGCATCTGACTCCGGAAGAACGTACGTACGACCATACCTAGATCATCATATCTACTAACTGTGACTTTAGGACGAAAGAAGCAGCTTAATGCCCAAATCGACAGCATCGTTAGCACCAGCTCGAACCGCCGCCGCAAGAAGGATGGCATTGACCTTGAACAAATGGCCGACCAAGAGATTGAGGAGATGCGCCGCCGTATGGCAGCTGCCGCCGAAGCCGACAACGAAGGTCGAAAGCGCAACGAGCCTGCACGGCACAAGCTCAAACTTCTGCCAGAAGTCACCGCCCTCCTGAACAAGAACACACTCAGAGATACTATTGTGGACCCCGAAGTGAACCTTCTCGAGTCGGTGCGCTTCTTCTTGGAGCCCCTAAGCGACGGTAGTCTTCCCGCGTACGACATTCAGAAGGATCTCATGGCCTCATTAGCCAAGTTGCCCGTCAACAAGGACACGCTTGTCGCATCTGGCATCGGCAAGGTCATCATGTTCTACATCAAGAGCAAGAAGCCCGAGTTGACCATCAAGCGACAAGCCGAGCGCCTCTTCACAGACTGGACGCGTCCCATTCTTAGGCGGACAGACGACTACCGCAAGAAGGAGTTTGCTCAGGCCGACTACGACCCGAGGTATGTACTGCGCCTTCATATTTCGCTATATATGCTAACAACCCTAGCCAAATCAAGACTACCGACAGGTCCGCTGCCAGCAGCCAAGCTGCCGCCTACGCAGCCAACCGGAAGAAGCAGCTCGAAGCCCCCAAGGCATTCCAGCGTGCCCGCATGGAGTCTGGTCCCACTACGTATACCATTGCGCCCAAGAGCAACGTTGTGTTCAACGAGAACGCACGCAGTCGTTCGAGCAACGTGGATATCATGAAGCAAATCAGGGGTGGTCGCAGCGGAGGCAGGCGCTGAGCTGGGTCTCACGACGCCATTCACATGTGGTTTGCGTTTTCTTTTCTGTTCGGCTTTAGACGAGGTCATTGATTCCGCTGCTCTGGACGTCACATTGGTACTCTGATATACTCTTGGGGTCTACGCATGGTAAAATTGCATAGCGGGCGTTACTTGCAGCTTCAGAGTTGGTGTGCGGGTTA